CATCAGCCATTCGCTTAATAGGCCGAGCTGGTAGGGCCATTTTTCGATATGCTAAAAAGAAAACTAAGGAAAAGATTGAAGAAGAGTTAGAAGAGGCAGAAAGATCAGCAGCACTACGTTTAGCATGTGAATTATGGCATAAGCAGGATAGAGGAGTTAATAATAGGCAACTGCCACCTTGTCCATGTAAAAAGTCTCAGGCCAAAAGAGATGATAGATACACTAGGGAAAACTTATTCCAGGACATTGTGAGGAAAAAAGTATTTAAGAGAGATAAAGCTACAGGTGGCTGTTATAGGCAAAGCAATCTTGGGTAAGTACTTGTACCCCTAATTGTTCTATTTATTAATAAAATTACATATAGTAATTGTTGTCAATCAAACTTCATTTATCAATTCAACATTAAAAATGCTGATTTATAAACCAATGCTAGTTCATATTAAATTTTCCATAACTAGATTTATTTTCTATACATGCACAGTTCTTATAGTCCCAGTCAGCAGTGCTGTTATGGTGGTGATGGGAATATTTTAACTGGTACTAGTGGAGGATCAGCATACAGTGTGTACCCTAATAACTGGAAATCATTTTTAGGTATAACATCTTTAATTTTGTAATGTGATACTTTTATTACTATTATTACTATTTTGATTTATTATAGGTCATTTTTTTAATGATGTTGTTCCTCATTATTTATGTTGTGATGGAAAATATTTCTCAGGTTGTCAGGATCGGTACTATGATAGGAGACCTAATGATAATTGTGAGGACTATCCTGAAAGACCACCACCAGGTACAAATAAGTATATGTACATGTATATATAATTTAGCACTTAATTTTATTTGCTATATTGCTATGTCTACATTAATTGCTATTTCACATATAATGTGAAATTTATTATGTTACTATTACAACTATAAAGTAAATGGTAATTAATCAATTTTCTGTAGCTCGTACATTTGGTGATCCTCACCTAGTATCGCTAGACGGGACACAGTACACATTCAATGGTCATGGGGAATTTATTCTAGTACAGTCAATTGATGGTTCTCTGATGATACAAGCAAGAATGACAGAACCATTATCAATTAGTGACAGTAATGAGACCCTCATTGGTAGTGGGACAGTCATTACAGCAGTAGTAGCTAAACACAATGCGTCAGACACCATCCAATTTGAGGTTGTTGATAATCAACTGAGAGCGTTAGTGAATGGAGATGAAATTGATTTCACAGAATTAGCTGAGCAACAATTTAAAAACTTAACAGTGCTGGATAAAGGAAACCGTACCCTTTCAGCTACATTAGCCAAGGGAGTAACAATAACTGTTACAGAGAATATTAATATACTATCTGATGTCTCTGTTACTCTTTCTGATGATTACTATGGGAGCACTGCTGGTTTATTGGGTCAATACAATGGTAAACCAGAGGATGATCTACTGTCAAGAAATGGAAACACATCTTTACCTTCCAATGCAAGCACTGAAGAGATTCATTACGAATTTGGACTGACATGTAAGTAAAGACCGCCAAAGTATATGAGTTTACTATTTTTACTCAGGGATTCTTGAAAATCCTCTTGAAAGCCTATTCACTTATGATGACACTGGTAGTTGGAATACATTTTATAAGCCTGACTACAAACCAATATTCCAGCCTCAATTTAATGACTCAGCACTTGAAGAAAAAGCACAGGAGGTAAAACAAGTCTATTAAAGTAAAATAAACAAATGCTAATACTCTTGTTAGATATGTGGTGATGATAAGCTTTGTTTGTTTGATATTGCCGCTACTGGTGATGTGAATATTGGGCAGTCAACAAGAGAAACCGGACAAGAGTTAACCACTATTACTGAACTCCTAAAATCTAGTAAGACACTTGTGAATAGTATGAATAAAATTAAGCATAATTTTATTACTCTCTTAGTTTATTGTGACCCTCCTTGCATACATGGAGCATGTGTGGATAACAACACATGTTTTTGTTCGGAAGGCTATGAAGGAGTTATGTGTAATGATACTAGTAAGAGCATTGAAAATTCAAATAATGCTGTGGTTAATCTATTATTATAGTTCTACAAGACTGTGAAGAAAATTTCTGTCTTAATGGTGCTACCTGTCAAATAGTAGCTGGAGCTTATTTGTGTATATGTTCTGATGGTTTCACTGGACCCAACTGTGGTATGTATCAGCCATGCATTATTTAAAATATCATGATATGCATGCATGCATTGCATTTGACATGTTCTAAGATATCTAAACCTTTTTTTATGCGTGAAGTTACAGTGCCTCTTTTGTAGGTACAAAAATTGTGGTTAGCAGTCCTATTCCAACCACTTCAACAACTCCACCAGGGAGTAATAAAGCATCATCAGTTAAAACCTGGATCATTATCATTATAGCACTAGTTGTTGTCATTCTCATGGCAATTGTGGCTGTTATAACTGTATCTGTTTGTCTGTGCTTCGTTAAAAGACGTAAAGTTAAGAGTTACACCAAGAAGGAATATGAGGCTGAAATGATTGAGAAGCTTGAAATGAAATAAAAAACTATATATTTACAAATACATTTTTATTGTTATTGTACTTGCTATAGTGTTGTTTTTAGTCTTGAGGCCAGCCTCTGGCCCATGTTGTTTAGTATGGTAAATTAATTTTAGTTTTATAGTTCCAGTTTTTTTAATAAAGTTTTAAAATTGGCACTTTAATTATCTAAATGTGCATGCACACATGGGATTAACAACTTGAGTTTGATGTGATTTGACAAGGAGATTAGTTATTTTTGTGTAATCTGCAATGCCTGTTTGTGAGCATCCTTTATCATCCAACATTTGACCTTTCATAATATAAGACCCACTAAGTGGAACAATTTCATAAAGCCTGGCTTTCATAGAGTGTGGTTGTTGCGTAGATTCTGTGATTAGGATAAATATTCAAATTTTTACTTAAGAACTCCTTGAAATAGTAGAGAAACACAGGATTAGAAAAGACATGCTGTGTTAGATTTCAGTTTTGCCAAAAACTCGACCAAACATGGTGTTTATGAA